AGGTAACTTCGACATAATTATAACAATCCCTGAATGTGGAAGAGGGCATTGGAGAGGACCAGATATGACAATGTGAGAAAATGTTAGCTCAGCATTGCTGGCTTTAAAGACATAAGAGGGGGCTGCCAGAAAATAAATGCAGGAAAGGGAAAGGAAGATTAGAAACTTCCAGAAGAAATACAACTGGAACAATGTCTTGATTTTAATCCAGAGAGACCCATTTTGGATTTCTGGCCTCTGGAACTGTAAATTAATAAATCTGTTCTTTTTAAGCCATGGTGTCTGTGATAATCTGTTACAATAACTATGGAAAACTAATATATAATTCTGAAAAAATATATTTGCACAGATGCAGAGATGATAGATCTTGAGTAATTTAATATTTATAAAATATAATTCTATAGATGTCCTGGCTACATTTTTTTTGCTGTGTCAGAAATAGCCTGATGAAGGCTTGTTCTGATTGATGAATATATTCCTATTAAAAGACTATCATATTTAATACATGACCTTTACAGCCAGAATAATATTGATTAAATTGGAATTCTCCTGGTTACATGACACAGGTGATCTTTGAGATCCAAAAAAGAACTAGGACATCTTCCTTCATATTTACCAGGAAGAAATATTCCTTTTAAAATCTTGGTAACCAGAAACATCCAATAAATTGAACTTAAACAGAGTCAGAGGCCTTGTTGTTACCTGGGGACTACACAATGTATAAGAATTCTCTGTCTAGGTGGAGACAAAGAAGAGAATGAGGAAAGAGGAATGGAGAGGAAAACTCAGAGGTAAGCAGAGGTCACTGTAGGGAGAGACATGTGGCTGCTAGTCCTCATGGTCTCTTGTATGCATCAGACAGGGTACCCTCCTTAGTTGATTTAGCTTCTTGCTGGGACAAATGGCTTGGTGGGCAGAGCTTGGGTGGACTTCCACTCTACTCACCTCCTACCTGGAGCACCCTTCTGTAGTGAACCATTGGCCCAGTCACAGCCAGAGGCCGGGAGGCACAGGCACTCTGGTATAATGGAAGGCACTGTTTTAGTTTCCTATGATTGCTAAAACACATTACCACCAATGTAGTAGCTTAAAGCAAGTTTATTATAGTTCTTGAGGTGAGAAGTCTCAAATTGGTCTCACTAGTTTAAAAATAAAGTTGTAACTGCATCTTTAAGTGGGCTGCTTTCTTTGCTAGGGTGTCTGGAATTTCCAGATCCTAGAGGCCTCCCACATGCCTTAGCTCATGGCCCCTTCCTCCATCGTCAAAGTCTTGCAATGTTGATTCCTTATGCTGTCCTCTCTCTGGATCTATCTTCTCTTCCCCTTTGTTATTTTAAAAGAACTTTAAAATTTTTAGTTTTTTTTTTCTTTTGATCCTGGGGATCAAACTCAGGATTTCACACATGCTAGGCAAACACATCACCACTGAGCTATATGCAGCCCTTTGCATTTTCAGATAGGATTTTTTGGGGGGTACTGAGGATTCAACTCAGGAGCATTCAACCATTGAGCCACATCCCTAGCCCTATTTTATATATTTTTTTTTAGAGACAGGATTCACTGAGTTGTGTTGTGCCTCACAATTGCTGAGGCTGGCTTTGAACTCGTGATCCTCCTGTCACAGCCTCCCCAGCTGTTGGGATTACAGGAGAGATAGGATTTTGCTAAGTTGTCATGTAGTGGCACCCCCTTTCTCCACAGAAAAGTCTTAACTGGGTTTCTCCAAAATTTTCACCAGGTTGATTTTAGGACTGTCAGCAAAAGAGTCTCTACCAAAGAGTTCAATGTAGATAAACTTCCAATTTTCGTGTTGCCCTGTTTTACTTGGCCACTGGTCAGGAAGAAATCAGCACTCCAGGTGCTGGATATCCTCTTACTAGTTTTGCACAAACGTGTATCCAGTATAGTAGTTTGTAGAAATGTGTAAACAAAGCCTCTGGCCTTGAGCTGGGGCTTCACAGCGATGTCTACGTTTCTAAGATAAGAGAAGTTACCAATTGGGCTCTGTGGTAACAGCTGGCAGGGGGAGGAAAGAAAGGGGAGAAGAAGCTCTCCTCTTTTCAGGTGCTATCCTTGAATGGTTAACTTGCCCAGAACAGTGAAAGAAAAAACTGCTTTTATGTGAACTTTTGCAGACTCTGAACTTCTGAGCCCTTCCCCTTATATGTTGGGTATAAAATTATGAAACTATCTGAACTCTGGGTTTAGAGGATTGATTGATTACAGCAAAAGCTGTGCCCTCTGAACCTGGCTGTAGCCAAATAAAACTGTTCCAGCTATCTTCAGTGCCTTGCCTCATCTGTCCCTACAACAGGTAGGCTGGCTTTGAACTTGTGATCCTTCTGTGTCAGCCTTTTGAGTAGCTGGAATTATAGTTGTGTGTCACCATGTCTGGTAAAGACTCTTTTGGTCAAATTGGGCTCCCTGGATTACCTAGGATAATCTCTCTATTGTAAGGTCAGCTGTTTAACAACCTTAATTATATCTGCCATTTAATTTCCCTTTGCCAGGTAATCTAATATATTCACTCATTCCAGAGTCTAGGATCTCTTCTGTGGGGACAGGGACCTATGCTAAAAAGAGGTAGAAGCATGCATTAAAAAAATCTTTCACCAAAAAAATACATGCCCAGTGCTAAGGAGCTGCCAGAAGGGTCACAGAAAACTGGACTCTCTGAAGTTAAGCAATTTAACAAATATTGAATCTTACCTTGGTGGACTAGTCCCTGGGTGACAAGCATGCTTACAAGAGAGAAAGGCAGAGCTGTAAAACAAAAATGTCCTTCAATATTGGTATCTTAATATCATCTCATTCCAGTCAGAATGGCAGCTATTATGAAGACAAACAACAATAAGAGTTGGGGGGTATGTGGGGAAAAAGGTACACTCATACATTGCCGGTGGGACTGTGAATTGGTGCAGCCAATATGGAAAGCAGTATGGAGATTCCTTGGAAAGCTGGGAATGGAACCACCATTTGACCCAGCTATCCCTCTCCTCGGTCTATACCCAAAGGACTTAAAAACAGCATACTATAGGGACACAGCCACATCAATGTTGATAAAAGTACAATTCACAACCCAGATGCCCTTCAGTAGATGAATGGATTTAAAAAATGTGGCATATATACACAATGGAATATTACTCAGCAATAAAAGAGAATAAAATCATGGCATTTGCAGGTAAATGGATGGAGTTGGAGGAGATAATGTTAAGTGAAGTTAGCCAATCCCAAAAAACAAATGCCAAATGTTTACTCTTATATAAGGTGACTGACTCATAGTTGGGTAGGGAGGGGGAGCATGGGAGGAATAGCCAAACTAGATATGACAGAGGGGTGGGAGGAGAAGAGAGGGGGCAGGGGATTAGCAATGAGGTGGAATGTGACAGACATCATTATTCAAAGTACATGTATGAAGACATGAATTGGTGAGAATATACTTTACATACAGAGACATGAAAAATTGTGCTCTGGGCTGGGGCTGTGGCTCAGTGGTGGAGCACTCGCCTAGCATGTGTGAGGCACTGGGTTCAATCCTCAGCACCACATAAAAATAAAATAAAGATACTGTGTTCACCTAAAACTAAAAAATAAATATTAAAAAAAGAAAAATTGTGCTCTATATGTGTAATAAGAATTGTAATGCATTCCGCTATCATGTATTTAAAAAATAAAATCAATTAAAAAATATTGGTATCTTAAAACATGGTGCCTCACCTAGAGGTCAGGGGAGAATTGCTCAGAGATTTTTGTTTTACCTTCCTTAAATGTAAGTTTTATTCATTTGTTATTTTACTTATTCAATAAGTATTTATTACACACTATAGGAACAATTCTCTTAGGGTCTTCCCTGGTCACTCAACCTGTTTCATACCATTAGTTTGACCAAATATAAAACCCATTTTACTCCATCTCTGATTTTATAGTGTGAATCTGAAGTGTCCACCAAACGATCCTTAGCTGGTGGGCATGTTGGGAGTTGGTTGGAGACTTTAGGAGGTAGGGCTTACTTGGAGGAAGCATCATTGGGAATGTTTCCTTGCAGTATGTATCCTGTCCTTGATCCCTTTCCTTCTCTATCTTTGCCTCTCAGCTGCTGTGAATTAAGCAACCACATTCTGCCATGTCCTCTTACCATGATGCTCTGCCTCATCGCAGGCCCAGAAACATGGAACCAAGTGGCCAGAGACTGACACCATGAGCCAAAATAAATATTTCCCCCTTTAAGTTGATTTATCTCAGGTATTTTGTCACAGTGATAAAAAACCAACTAATACATCAGACATCCAAATTTACTGAATGGTTGACTTGTACAAGATTTTGAACACTACATTTGACATGGGCATCTTAGTTCTTGAATTGGGGAACTGCCTGTATCTATATGCATACATATGTATACATCAATTTTCAATCCTACATAATTGTTAGGAAGCACTATATAATAAACTGCATAGTCTTCATCTATATTTGTTAGTTTTTTAACCAAATTTGCTTTATCTCTATTTTTTATTTTTATTTTTTGAAATATTTGAAATTCGTAAACATCATGACTCTTCAGTACTGAATATTTCAGAAGATATCTTCTAAGAACAAGAATATTTCCCTACAGAGTCACAATACCATTAGGGGTACTCCAGGATAATTAACTATTGCACAATCTATATTCAAATATCTCCAAATGGTCAAATAATGTCTTTCATAGCTGCTGGCTTTTTCCAATACAGAAAATCAAGGATCCTATTTACTCTCTAATCTGCTTTCATCTTTCACTGAGGAGAGTTCCCTGCTGGTTTTTTTTTTTTTTTTTAGTCTATAAGACATTTTTGTCCACCAATTTGGAGGTCTGCCTGAAGATCCAAATGGAAGATTACAAGATGACTTCATTCATGTTAAATATGTACAATGTTTAGCTATGCCTTTTTGAACAGACAATTAGTTTGGCAAAGGCAGTTTCTAATTCTGTCAAAATGTGCCAAATGACTTCTCTCAAATGCAGAGAGCAGTGGTAAACATTCAGCTCTTCCTGGCAACCAAGGAAATTCAAACAGTAACCAATTTTTCCATCTATAACTAGTTGCCTGGTGGCAGGCAAATGGGTCATAATGAAGTGTTAATCTACTAGTGCACAATTAAATTATTTACTCATAGGTTGTCAGAAAAGACATGCATTTCTAGAAGCACAATCAGTAATCATGGTAATGCATAATGAATATCAACTCCTACAGAGTGTTAGTTCCAAAACTGGTGATGCTGAATTTGAATGATTTATGAAATCAAAATGAGTATTGTAAAGTAAAAATTATCCCTGTGTCAGCAATGTTGCACAACACTGATGCTCTGTCTATAAGCTCTATTATGCCATTCTCAAACAACAAATCATGAATTTTTTAAATTGGAAGAAACTTTAATGCACAGCCTGAATTCACACCCTTATCTTATGTAAGGCAGGCTCAGAAAGAGGAAGCAACTCAGCATAAAAGGCTATTCAGAGACAATATAGGAGAAGTATTAATGGAACACTGCCATTTTTTCTTTCACTCAACAATATTTAGGAGAAATTCTCTATGTGTGAAGCATTGTGCTAGGCTCTGGGATGAACTTGACATTATTTCTGACTCTATGAAGCTTAGACTCTAGTGGAGGTTAGAAAGATCTACTCTTTGGTAATAAAGACATTCTAGACAATAATCTTGGCACATCTTCTTGCTCATGTGAAGGAAAGAGTTAAATGAGCAGCAGTTTTTGCTAAGTAAGGCAAAGTGCTCCATAATCAGATATTATCTCTGCCCTAAAAATTTTTTCCAGATGGATTTAACCCAAAACACCCCTGAATATCCAAGTTCTTCAGGGATTTATGCAAACACTGCTCAAAAATAAATCATTCCTGCAGTTCTAATAGGATATGGAGGCAGTTTATTGCATCAAATGCAATGCTAGTAAAGATTGAGCAGGATGCAATTACCTCTCTTCCAGAAACTTTCTTCTTGACATTCTCGAATAATCTTGGCTATCTCTCCTCTGTGGATGTGCAGTTTTGATTTTGGACAAAACAACATGCTCTGTAAGGAAAGTTACATGACGAGTTAAGTGAGATTATCAGAAAAACATCTACTTGGTTTTCCCTGGAGGAGGAGGTCTCTTCTCTTGTTACTTGGCTTGTGTTTTGGGCTGTCTGTGCCTATATGCAGCAATGGCCAATTCCATAAGCTTCCCAACTGGACCTTCTAGATGGACTGAGGCAAAGAAAGAATCCCAGTTGGAGAGACAGGGTGATTCACTGATTTGAGTGCATGAAGTGGCTACTGGTCAAGCTGAATTACTGCTGAGGCCATGTGCGCTTTCACCTCCATGCCTCTGTCCATGGGCTTGACTATACTTAGAGTGCTACTCCCTCTCTCCCTTCACCTACCTGCTCTTAAGATCAAGCTCAGTGTTGCCTCCTCAGTGAAGAGAAGGATTTGCTGATTTTGCCACTGTTCCTTTTCAGGCTCTTTGTAGTAGGTATCAGTGTGGATGGTGGTCACCATTTCTTGAGCACTTTCTCATGGGCCAGGCACTATGCCAAGCACTTGACATGCATGATGCTATATTAACAAGGTGGAGGGACTCATGGCGTCTATGCCTTCAGAGATCTACAAGCAATGCAAGCTGGCATCCTCCCTCTTCTTTCTCTCCAACTCTCCTTGACACAGTACAATTGCAGTGGTCAGCATGAATCACAACAACCAGTAACATGGTAATGCACAATGGGAAGAAGCAATTGCCATCAGTCTCTACTTACCTCCATTTCTTAGCACCTGTGCTCCTCAGCAAGCATGCCTCCTTTCCCAGGTAAATCAAATCGGTCCCTGACTTACTGATGGTTCAGATTTTTCCATTTTTATGATGGCATGGCAGTGATATGCATTCAGTAGAAGCCATACTTTGAATTTTGATCTTTTCCTTATATTGCTAGCAATATGCAATGCAATATTTTCATGTGATGCTGGGCAGCAGCATTTAGCTGTGGCCACTTTTCCCCTGGGCAATAGTGAGGATGAAAAGTTCATGCTCTGTACTGTGTTGTGTTACTAAGCTAGGATGGTCAGTAGGATAGATGTTTATAATGCATTTTCGACTTAAAACATTTTCAACTTATGACAAGATTATTGAGATGTATCTCCATTGTAAGTCAAGGAGTATTGCATTTGTTCTTGTCCTGGCTATGGCTGCAGCAGAAAGAAGAAAAATGTCATCCAAAAACACACATATACACACAGCTGACTGTTGCAGTTGCTCTGAGTCCTAGAGTCAAGATTAGAGTTCGTGCACAGACTCCTGGACGGAGCTCTGGTAATCCTTTCCTTCACGGCTATAAATGTTTTATGGCTCTCTGTTTCACAGAGGCAGCTCAGGTATCCAATTTCTTCTGCTTGTGACTTGTTATCATTGGTCTGTTTGCCTTTCCTATAGTTTACTTTTTTTAAAATTAGAGATTTATAGTTACACATAGTAGATGGACTCATTTTGACAAAATCATACATGAAAGGAATTTGATTTTGATCCCCATTTTCTCCTCCATAAACAATTTTAGCTTGATATGTTTACCCCAGAGAACAAGTAAGATCACTGGCCAAAATCACTCCATTTACCCTTCAAATACTTGCTCTTTTTCTTTCTTTTTAAAACCTAAAAATTTTATTTATTTATCTATTGTGGTACTGGGGATTGAACCCTGGGGCACTTTACCACTGAGCTGCATCTCCAGCCCTTTTTACTTTGTATTTTGAAATTTTGTGACAAGGTTTTACTAAATTGCCCAGGCTGGCCTTGAACTTGCAATCCTCCTGCCCTAGTCCACTGAGTAGCTGGATTACAGCTACTGGCACCGGCACATTTTTTTTTTTTTTTTTTGAGTTAGGGTCTCAGTACATCTTCCAGGTTATTCTTGAACTCCTGGACACAAGTGTCTCTTGTTCAAATATTTGTTTCTGAAACACATAACATCCATTCTGAACAAGTTGAAAAAAGTGTGCTCATGTTAACATTTGGGTTCTCAATCTGATGGCTAATTAGTAATTAAGAATTCTGCTATCCTAAAAGCAACATCTGTCAGCAGCATATGCTTTGTATAATTATCCTTAGTAAGAAAAATATGAAAATAAGCAAAATGTACCCTTCTGTTAGAGACAACCAAGAGTTTTGCAGTAAAAGTTTACAACAGTAAACTTTTGCAGTCACTGACAGCCTCCATTAAGAGTTAGCTAAGCTGGATCCTAAGTGGGAAAGAGTCAAGAAAGTTTTTGTAAGTACATCTTTTGTAAGTACAACCCACATATTCCTTCTGTGTTCTCTGTACCCATCCAACAAGGTGTCGGACCAGAAAAAAACAAAATAAAACAAAACACAAAACCAAGTAAGATCACTGGCTAAGAGTGGGGTTTAACAAAAGTTCTGTATGATATTCCTCTTTACATGTCAGACTCCCCAAATTAAAAACATACCTGCTTGCTCAGTGGTGGCAAGTGGGGACCTTTCTCTTGGCTCCCCTGAGTGGACACTGATGCCATGGTGACTTTGTCTTTGCCTCTCTTCTTGTTGAGGGCTCTGCTTACTCTTTGACCAAATGGCTATGGAAAATAGAAAAGAATCACTGTACCTTGAAAAGAATCACTTTCACCCCTAATCTCAATGGCACTTATTTTGAAAAATTACTTTCATTTTGTCCCTAGTCTTAACCAACTACAAACTCAATTTCTAATGTCAACCCCTCACACTACATACCCACGTAACTCACTAATGGTGACAGATCATATTTAGAGTGAAATGTCACACTGTGCATAGTGAACTGTTTTCCTACCTATAAACTGTGTTCTAAAAAATAGTTTCATTCCACGACAAGGTCATTAACTGCACAAACACTTATCAAATGTCTATTATGCACCAAATCTGAGGATACAAAGTGTAAGATTAAAAAAACTGCTGAAGGAATCAGAGTCTAAAGGGGAGGGCACATAAGTTGACAATTGTGTCATATGAGAAGCGCTCCTTCTCCTAGAGGCATGTATGGGGTGCTAAGGAAGGAGAGTGAGAACAGCATATTCTGTCTGCTAGGCCTAAAGGCCCCAACGAGACTGACTTGTGAGATTTCAAGAGGATGTCTAGTGGGTGGATGGATTCTAGGGGCAGGAGGACCAATTTGGAAAATAATGCAATAGTCCAGGCAAGAAGCTGCAGAGACCGGAAATTAGATGCCAATAGGAAGAATAGGGATGATAAACTGGGGTTTGGAAATGTTGGATTTGGGTGCCTGGGTGCAAACAGTGGAATTAGTCTGGAGAGATTAGAATATTTGAGGACTGGGGTTTGAAGTTCCAGATGATTCATAGACTTGAGAGATAAATTTTGAATAAATGTATCTAAAAAGAATATTGGAGAATGTGAACATTGTACTCAAGGGAGTATCGACAAGGAAAAAACAAAAACAAAGGCAGACTTAAAAAATGCAATGATCAAGTAATTACATAGTTCAGGAGATTAGATTTTGAGTTTGGCAAAGATGGACACACTCCAGGTAGGTCACAAGTCTCCTCCCACTCCCCTCAGAGGCCACTGCATTCTGCAGCCCTGGCCTCAAGACTACTACTGACTTCCTGCAAAATGAACATCTTATCACACACAGTTCTGTTTCCTGCATTAATTACTAAACCATAAGGTTATGAGCAAAGGTGGCCTCTACTTGCACCAAATTTCACTTTAGGTGCCCAATGTTATTGTAGAGGCAGCACAGTATCCTGTAGTGCTAAGTCTCTGAATTCAAATCCTGTCTCTCCCTTTTGCTAGCCCTGTACTTTGAGGCAAGTCAGTGTGTCTGTGCCTCAGCTTTCTCACCTGTTCAGTGGATACAGTGGGCACAGCCCTCTTGAGGGGCTGTTGCCAAAATGAAGGATGAAGAATGAAGCCTATAGAAAGCCTCAGCTTAGGAGTCCGTACACAGTGGGTGTGTGAGTAGCTGGGCCCCTGGGCACCTTATGTCTTGAGAACCCCTAGGAATTCTTTGCTGATCTTAGAATGTTTTTGCTCAGTCAGGCATTAGATGTGCAAAGCTAGCACATCCTCTAGGTTTGGAGGTTAGGTTCCCCTTGCACCCAGGTGTATCTGGGTCCACATCTAAGCAAGGCTTCTGAGGGGCTGCCTTCCGAGTGCAGCTCCCACCACCCACACCCAGATCACACGGGCTTCTCCAGTGGTGGGGAAGGGGACAGGGATGCTGACAGGTGGGCATTGGCTGCAGGATGGGGGTGGTGGTAGGATGGACAAGGAGGGGTGCTATCCAGAAGTGACATACTGGAAACTGCGTCAACCCCAAACCAAGTCCTCCAAACCCAGACCCGGGCCACCTTCCCCCCCCCGCGCCCCAGACAGTGTGGTTCGTGGTCAGGGACCAGAGGCAGGAGGGAGCCGAGGGGTTGGAAAGCGGCCAACGCCAGCCGCGCAGCCTTCAAAGGGCTGCGGTGTCTATGCGCCTGTCCCGAATACCCGGAAGGAAAGCGGGCATCCCTCCCGTTGTCACCTCCCCCACCCCGGAGTTGGGGGGAGGCTCACCCGTGGGGGTGGGGGTCGCTTCCCAGGCCACGTCCCGGGCGCAGATGTCTTCCCTCGGCGGCGGCTGCGGCCCTCGCCCGGCCTCTTGCTCACCCCCCCGCTCGCCCGCAGCCCCGCGCCGAGCCCGAGTCCCCTGTCCCCGGCGCCCCCGGCCCTCACCTTTCTTCCGCAGCTCCCTCTCCTTCCTTCCTTCTTTCCTTCCAGCTTCTTTTGCTCCGCCCCCTCACCTCTCTGCTATCACTCGCTTGAGTCACCGCGTCAAAGTGCATCCCCACCCCCACTTGCAGCCTTTCTGGTGGTGACAATCGAGAGAGGCTGAACCCCAGCTTTTGCCACCACTCCGGTCCCCCTCCACGGTCCCAGGCCCTGTTCTGACACCCTGCAGATTCCACCTCCTCAGGGTCTATCAGATGACTCTCTCCTCCCCACAATCACAGCAGCAACCATTTCCCCTGGCACCCTCCGGGGGCCAGGCCACCCTCCCCGTGTGCAGTCCGGTCTACAGCCCTTGAGGGTGAGCACGATTGATTATCCTCACTCTACAGGCCAGGTTGTGCAAGGTCACCCAGGAGTCCGGAGTCACACTCAGGCCAGCTTTGTCCCTAGCTTGGTCCTCTGTCCATGGACTTGTCCCTTCTCCGCCACCTGCTACTAAACTGTGGGGGCAAAGTTACCTCCTGGGGGAGTGCCTTTAGGGCTCTTCCCTGGGCTGACAGACAGGGACTCCTTGGGGGTATTGAGATGGAGAGAGATTCTGAATCACAGTAAAGGCCCTCATCACCTTTTCCTCCTGTCCCAATCTGTCTCCATGACTTCAGCCTCAGCCCTGGCCCAAAGCTTATCTTTCTTTGATGCCTGCCACCTGCCCAGGGCTCCTTTCTGTTCTTCATGCTCTCTCAGCTCTTTTCCACCCAAGCCCTGGCACGGAGGCCTCCCCTTGCCTGGATCCTCTCCCTATGACACCTGCCTGGCTCTTTCCTATTCATGATTCCCTACCGTTCTTCAGCAGAACCTTCCTTGTCGCCCAGCCCTGTAAAAATCAAACCTTTTCTTCTCTTTCACAGCATAGGCTGCTATTGTTTTCTCTTACAGCACTGTTCACAGTTGTCATTATGTATTTATTATGTGTACAGTTGTATAAAGCCTTCCCTTTCCTTTCATGAAGAGCAGAACAAGATGGACTCTCTTTTGTTCACCATTGAGTCCTTAGCATCTCAGATATAGGAAGGCCTCAATAAATATTTCTTGAATAAACCATCTGGGTTCAAAGATTGTGAAGACACTGCTGTTTTTGGAAGATTTGTATCCGCGCCTCCCCTACTCCCCAGTAGATTTCCTTAGACCACATCTATTCATGTGATTTAGTGAGTTTTTTCTTCCAATAGGGTATTTTCTTTTCTCTTCACTCCTTTTCCTCTAAGTCAAAGGGTGTGTAGTTCTGCTAATTTTATATTGTGTTGCTAGAAACCAGAAATATGATTTGGCCATTTTATGGTCTGAAGGGATCAGCTTTGTAATTGGTTTTGTGGTATA